GGTGGTAATGGATACCATTCTGATGGTACCATACAAAATGCTCGACTAGCACCAATCATTTCATAACCATAATTACATTCATATTCAACTGATGAACCAACTTCATAATCAGATACACGATAAAATCCACCTTGAATTGATGCTGGTTCCGAACATCCTAATTCATAATCATTTATTTATTTATTTGTTTATTTATAATTCATCAATAGATAATGAAAATATTCATTTTACCTGAACAAAAATATGAACTTTTTAATTTATTTGTATCAATTAATATTTCATTAGATACTTGTGACCAAGAAAAAATATCTCCATTTTGTTTTCGACAATCACGATAACTAACAAGTAATTGTTGTTCAGATATAATTTGTTTCCAAATTTCTATACGTGTTATACGACCAGTAAATAATCGTTCAAATAGAATTAATCTTGTGACATCTAATTAAATAAATAAAAGTCGAAATGATCATTTATACATGCCTTTCCATTAGGCTTACTTGCTTTCGAAATCGAGGTTCATTACTCCGAAATCGATCGATTGTTGTCGTGCACCATTAATATATAAATTTGATTGTTGATTTTTATTTGAATAAGTCCAAGTAAAATGTATCCATTTTTCAATTGGAATATTCACATAAGTTGTTGTTGTAGATTTAGTTTGATTTTGTCGTAAATGATAAATAACTAGTCTATTTATTAAAAGAAGAAAACAACGACATAATAAAAAAGGTCATTAAATTTAAAGACAAAGCATCTTACCTGCCTTGAAGAATAATTAATTCAAATAGAACACTATTGTTATTTTGTTTTAATGAAATTATATTAGCATTTGTATTATTTTCCAAATAGAACCAAAAGATAATCGTAAATTCCAATGAATTAAAAGATGTTAAAATAATTCCTCTATCGTTATTATTGATATGTAAAGCATAATTTGAATAATCTATTATTATAAATCAAAACAAAAAAAAAAGATATAAATAAAAAATTTAAAACTAAATTATACCTAAATATTTTGGAGTTGTTATTAAATGATAAGTTGATGTTGGACTTGTAATTCCAAGAGGTGTTGTTTCAACACCAACTTAAAATAAAACATCAATATTCTTTTCTATCTATATCAATAACACTCACCAATACAAAATTGTTCATAACCTGTCCATCTACCCATTACGAGACATTCACGAATACGTGGACCTATCAATCGATAACCTGTTTCATTACATTTTGCTTGACATTTAGTACCAAATTGAAATTTCGTATTGTTTTGTTGAGGTAAACATTCTTGTATTACTCGAGGACGAACTTTTAATGCAGGACAACGAATTGCTAAAAAAACAAAAAGTAAAAATGAAAGTATTTTACGTTGGCTATTGACTATTTAATTTACCTTCACATTGCGGCTCACGTCCACTCCATGTTCCATCTTGACGACATTCACGAAAACTATCTCCATTTACAAGACGATAACCAGTTAAACATCCAAGTCCACATAATGAACCTGATGTTCGTTTACAATAACCCGAAAAGAAAAATCCATGTTTAGGTAAATCCAAAACAGGACATTGTTTTGTCTAATATATACGTAAAGAAAAACAATAAAAAAAAAAAACAAAGATGAAAAATTAAAACATACTCGTGCACCATCAATACTGACGATTTTAAGTATAAAAAATATAAAAGAAAAAATTATCATATATTGATTTCGATACTTTGATTTTGACCACCACAGAATAGAAAAGTTCTTCCGAATAAAGAACATTAATTTGTGCCAACAAGAGGAACAAAAGAAAAGCATTGTATATAAGATATTTATTATGCTTAAATGATGGAAATGCCTGTTTATTATCTTCTATTGAACATCTGGCATTGAGAAAATATAAGCATGAGAAGCTACGTGATTGACATCATAAGGAAAAGAAGAAGAACATGCTTAATTAATGATCGTCTCTAATGTAGGAAAGATCATTTGTTCATATATACAAATCATTGACCTGAATATGTGGAATATGATGCAGAAATTATTAGATTAGACAGGCGATAGTATTTTACGGTCAATGTCATTTTATCTAAATTAAGTATAAGAATTTTTATAGTTGGAATATTAAAAAATAAACATTTTATTTTCTTTATTTTGAATGATTGATTCATGCGAATAGATTTTTTGTTTTTCTTCTAATAATTTATTTAATGATCTTTCTAGATTTGTGAAAATAATGTTTGACAACGTCCTTTCTTTTTCATCTATGGAATTAATATAAAGACTTATTTTTAAGGTAAGATATAGTAGAATTTTTATAGATGTAGACTCATTTTCTTTTTGATAATTATTATTAAGTACTTGATCTTTATTGTTTAGAAGTATTAAACATAGATGAGCTTGCTACTTAATGCATAAAATCTATCAAATATATAAATTAGTGAACGATTTTTACCGGTTTTTTTTGTTGAAAATTATATTGATACTTTCACTAAGCAATTGTATCGTATGAATTAAGTTATTTGTAATCTAATGTTACAATCTATTGATAATATCACTGTTTCAATATAAACATAGTTGGAGAATTTATTAAAATTCTATTCATCTACAAGCGAATTTAATTACTAAAGCTTTGTATTTTTGTCAAAAAATTTCTCATGTAATCTTACATTTTCACATTGTATTTACGAAGAAATTTTAAAAAAATACATTTCATTGATTTACTATCATGAATCAATGTAATTTTTGGTAATTATTTTTTTGTTTTAGTAAAAAGCTTTGTATTCTTGATATTTAATTTTCTATTGTCAAAATATTAAATAAACTTTGTAAATGTTAGTAATACTAATCCGTAATTCTCTCTGTGATTTCTAAATCAATCTATTTACATTCTATTAATTCGAAAAAACTAATCATATTTTAGAATAAACTAGTCTTAGTTTAATTATTCCACGCTTGATGATGAATTCCTTTTGACAATTTACTTCATAATTTCCATAGAAATTTACGAAAAAACAAATTTTGATCGAGTCTGTTGCAGAACATTCTCTGCAAGTTGATACATTGAATGTTCGCATAAACTATAATTTTACGCTATCTAACTTATTAACTTATGAATCATTGAAATTCAATGTATGCAATTTTGAGAATTTTTCTAATGTCTGAAAATGATTTTTGTCATTTTATTTTGGCTTAATTATCGTTTGTAAAAACGATTAGAAAATGATTATTTGTTTGCAGCATAATAGATAAGTGTTGTTTTTTTTTAATTGAAATGAAATATTGAAACAATGTTTCAAATATATAGGTCATTTATAAATCAACTTCTTCTTCGCTGATAACTAGTATGTAATGTTTTACATTCTCTTATTGAAATATTTGATAGCTAACAAATCTTGATGGTTTTTTTTTTCTTCAGTCTATATCTTGCGTGGAAATTGAATTGGTCGATTAATAACATTCTTTTTTGAAAATTCTTCTATATGTTTTTATTCATCGATCAAGATCGAAGCCAACAAAATTTTCTGATTATTTAGTTATAGATCTTAATCATGCGAGGAAAACTAAGACACGAGTTTGTCATCAGCAGCAATGACACAATATGCATTGATTGTCTATTCTTTCTATGCATAAAATTTGTCTCAATAGACTATAACCATCATCATTGTCATATTGTCTTTGTTTTTGACGAATGATTGATTAACACCAGAATTAAGTTTTTTTTTCTAAGTTCATCTGGATATTCGTTAAAATTTTTGTAACAAAAAGCACTGATAACAACCATAATATCTTGTAATAGTTATTTTTCTTTCATTTGATTCACATTTTAGTATCGAATGCTTTTGAAGAAGTAATCATTTTAAAAAAATTAGTATGTATTCTATGATGTTCAAAAAATGAAATAGTCATACTCTTTTGTCGTTGACACAATATATATACGATCCATAAAAGAACATTTGTTAATATAGAAAAGATAAATAAAAATTTTTCTTTTTAATAATTCTATAGTACATATGACGTATACTTTCTAGTTATTCAAGATAATTGAATATCTACATATAATATTAAAAAAAATCATCAAAATAATATTGTTGTGTAACTATAAGATTTGTTGAATTATTTCATTCGTTCATTTTTCTCAATATATACGAATATTAAATACAGAATTGCACTATTTCTTTTTTTAGCAAATGTGTTTTTGAAAATGAATTAAAATAGAGGAGAAAAGAAAATCAGTCTGAAGAACAATATGAGAACTGAATCTATTAATAATTTTAATATTAAAAAAAAAAAAAGAAAACTTGACAATGACCAATCATAACAAAAAACGCAGCTTCGTTCTTTAGTGTCATTTGTCCTTATTTTTTAGTGTTGATTAGTACTATGTGACAAAAGAAATGCTCTTCCACTCCTTTTTTTCTATGAAAAATTATTCCAATATAATTCTTCATTTCAATTTTTAAGTTGAATTATTATGCATTTGAATAATAATAATTTATCAATTGACTAAAATGTCTGTTAAATTTATTTTATGGATCATTTAAATTCAGGGAAATATTCAAAAGAATAATAAGCTCGAAACACAGCAAAAGATGAAATAAGCTCTAAATCACTGTTACTTATACAGAAAGCTCTTTTTTTTACGTTAAATTTCAATCGGTTTTGGATTCGGTTTTCGAATATGACGCATATTAGCACCGGGTTCACTAAAAAAAAAGATTTTATTTTACCATATAAAGAATTATTCTATCATACCTCGGTTTAAATGGTGCATGTGAACCATACGGTCTTGCTACTTGAATATCTGCATCGTCACTTGGAGCATAAGCTTGTGGACGTGGTTCAGCTTGTGTAATTACGCCGCCTGGTAATAAGAAGTGTTCAGTTTCACGTTCTCTCTATAAGGAAAAAGAAAAGTTGATGAATAAAACATAATTGTTATAAATAATAACGAACTTCTTCTCGAGTTCTTCGTTCAGTTTTACGTTTTTGTTCAAGTTCATTCGTACGTTGCCAATCACGTTCAAGTTCTTCACTTGGAGGCTCTCCCTAGTAATAATAATAAATTAAAAAAAATACAAAAAATCTAATTAAACTTTATAAGAGAAAAAGAAAATCATAAACAAACTTGTTCCATTCGTGCATAGGATTGTTGTAATTCAACATCTTTCATATTTTTTTCTTGTTGAAGTTTTAATGCATCTGCTTGATGAATTGTTAATTCTGATAAAGTTGCCATCATTTTACGTGTTATATCTTTTATTTTATTTTGTAAATCATTAACTTTTTTTGCTAATGCTAATGTATCATCTTTTCCAGCATCAGCTTTTGTTGATAAACGTTCAATTAAACGATTAACTTGTTCAAGAATAAGATCTTTTTCAAGTGATTGTTCTTCTTTAGTTGATAAACGTTGTTCAAGCTAAAAGAATTTTATTATTAATAAAATATTTTCAAATGAATTTATTACTTGTTCAAGTTTTTTCATAATTATTTCAGGTGTTTCATCAGTACCATCAAGAAAACGAACTCGTGTTGGATCATTTGGATTTTCAAGAATTTTTTCAAGTTCAATTAAACGATCTTGACATGATTCAAGCTAGAAAATAAATGAATTATTTAATAGATACATAGCTATGAAAAAAAAAAGAAGAAAAGATTTTTGTAGTTAGTACTTATAAAATTGATTTAAGAATAAAAATAATCATAAAAGTTAAGTTTTCGAAGTTAGTTATATCATCTTTAGGATTGATTTATTCTAGTTTTCTATGTCCTAATATAGATGAAAGCTTGAATAGATTAATTCTTCATGCAATGAAATCAAGCATTTAACTATAGAATGAGATTATTATAAAGTTTGTAAGAAACTT